TACATACGTAACCGAGACATTCCCTTTCAGTCAGTCACGTTCGACGTTACGTCAGTCGTGACTGACGAATTGGGATCCGTATGGAAAACGCCACTATTGCTGACCCCCTCCAGTGCCCTGCGAAGGCCGGCAAGTCCCCCCACACCAGTTGGGGCGGAAGAAGGACAGGGCTTAGGCAGAGGTGTCCGCGACTGCTGTTCCGAACAGTGGGATATTGGATAACACTGGGAAAGCGTACCCAAGTAGGGGAACGCTACGGAAGCCACATCCTGCGTATAGGAGGTATCATGTGGAGGTACACATATGGACTGGCCATAGGGCAGTACTACATATGGGAGTCCCTGCGGTAGACTCAGCCCGCCTGGGGTGAGATGACTACGCAGCAGAGATGGCAGAGAACGTCTGCCAGGGAAAGACACAGGCTTACCGTGAGGGGAGCCGTACCATGGAATAATACTTTTTACTTTTTACTTTTAGTCATTTAGCAGACGCTTTTATCCAAAGCGACTTACAAATAAGAAAAAGTAATTAAAACGAAAAGCTAAAAGCTTTTAAGAAAATAAAAGAAATTAAATAAAAATGACAAATGCATACAACAACATTTCAAAACTAAAACATTTAAATGAAAACAAAAAAATAAAGCTAAAAACAATTCAAAAATATTAAAAGAACAAAAGGTATGAGTATAATAATGATTCTAACATAACACTAAGCCAAACACCAAAAAACAACTACATATGTGTATGTACAGCCACACACATATACATATACATTAAATATATACTGTATATATTATTTCATTTCCATTTTGTATGTTGAAGTACTGAAATAACTCAAATTAAATAAAAGTAAAACTTAATAAAAAGCCTATATAGACATAATAAAAAAACTAATAAAATGACAACATGACTACAACTGTAACTAAAACTAAAATAGATAACTAATACAAATCAAACTAGGTTAGTTTATCAGTAATCCTAAAAAAATAACACTGAGGCAAACACACATGCTAAAATAACAACAACTTACTGACGCATAGTAAGAAATAGTTAATAAAAACCTGAAACAGAAGTGGAAAGAGGAGAGATAAAAAGCGATACTTATGTCCTTTGCCGGTGTCCCTGCCCGGTGGAGTCGCACGGTAGAGTCGATGGTCTTTACACTCTTCGGTCTTCACAGGAGGGCTGCCGCAAATTGAATTCAGCTGGACACACTTTCCTGTTTATCACAACAAATGGCCAAGCAAAGCGCACGACACTGACAAGGTACCCGATACAGTACTAGACCAAACGCGATTTCAGCACGTCTCCACACATTAAACAAAACAAGCGTTTCCTAGCAATGACAACTGCGCTAAACACCAAGACAAGAAATAAATACACTTACAAGCTGCTTTAAACTTCTGCTGATTGACTGCTTCTCACAAAGAATATTTCTTTACACTGTTTTGCTGGCGCTTGAACACACTTTCCTGTTTATCACAACAAATGGCCAAGCAAAGTACACGACACTGACAAGGTACGCGATACAGTAAGAGACCAAACGCGATTTCAGCACGTCAGAAACAAAGTCATCAACATCTTGGATGGCCAGAGGGTGAGCATGTTTTCACCAAATGTTAATTTTTGCGTGAACTATTCATTTAAAAACCTCTGGGTCATTAAAACCCTAAAACGACTTTAGGAAAGAATCTGCTGAAATGACATTTTTTTCTATGCTTCCACATGACTGCTTGTAACACACAACACTGTTAAGTAATGCTATGCAGAAGGGGGTCTTTTCATCTTCTTATCACTTTAATCACCACTTCTACTTGCTGTGGGGTTTTGGACTGTATTTTTGCTGTTAATTTCTGTGGACTCTCAGAGATATTTTTAGTGTTTTTCAATGTTAACTCACCATGAC